TTATTTCCACAGGAGTACTGTCAGAAAGACTTGAACATGAAATGTTTCGTTTTCTTTTGTGAGTTTGCTCAGTAAAGTACATTCACTAAGGTACCATAGAGTTTTGAGGTACTTGAGTATTTTTATTTTTTATTTTTGTTTGCTACCTTGTACTCCTATACATGAATTGTTAATGTGTGTGAGTATTATTACCAAGGAAATGGGTTCATCCTCCATCCATGACCTACTGATCATAGATCAAACGATACACAGACAAACAGAACTCATTTTCAAGAGGAATCTGTCTGAATAAGATTCGTCAGAAATACATAAATATGAAAAAGTTTAGTGTTCTGTGAACGACAATAGTTCTGTTGTTGAACTGCTGCAGCATCACAGCATGGGTGTCAGTTTTAAAGCAGCCGTGTAAACGCCGGCCATGTGCTGCTGAGTATTAAGCCGTCCTGCTGGGATCACTTTGCACATGGGAACAAGATTTGTCTCAGCACCAGTGCCGGTCACAGCAGGTCACACAGGAGATAATAGCGATCAGAGAATAATCTTCTCCATTAATGTTTGCTCTCTCTTTAACCTCGGAGCACCTCGCTGTGAAGCATCTTTACAAACAACAGGACCAATACACCGTGAAGGTCAACATCATACACACACACACACTTACACACACACACACACCCGCTTCATACCCACACAGTTGGGGACACTGGGGTTCTCCTCTCAGCAGCTGCAGCTGCGACTACATGATTACCTGTCCTCCTTAAATTTAACACACACACACACACACACACACACACACAGAAACTTCCCTCCACCACAAGCCACACACACACTTGCACGATGCCGCCATCCGCTTAGCTCTGTCCCTGTGGACCCGAGTTCTAGGAGCGAGCACCAAGGGAGAGAAAGGGGAGTGCAAACAAACTCTCCCCAGGTCCGGGGCTCCGGTTTCAGCCTTCCGTCCGCTGCGGCCGGGGGGCCATGGGAACACCAAGTGCCAGGGGCCCTGTGTCAATAAGGAGCAGTGGTTCAACACAATGGGGGCCTGCCTGCAGACAACACCGCTGACAGACACCCACACAAAAGGCCCTGTGAATGGGAAGGAGCCATGTGCACACACACATGTACGTCAACACACACACACACACACACACACGTAGAGAAAAGAATAGAGCAGTGTGTGGCTGCCCACAAGGCCAGTGTTTGATGACTGCTTCTGTGTGTGTACAAATACACTCAAGCACCCAGCAGCACTCATGCCCACGAAGACATAAACACACGATAATAAACAGTTTATACTTACAGAACAACGTGTACCACAGAGAATCAGTGTGAAGAACACATGTCAGTAGATTGTTTCACACTGTTTTCTTGTCGAACTGATAACATTAGATAACAGAGGAAAACTGTAGCATCAGTTAATCTGAGTGCAAACCCACAATTTTAATTCTGCTCATCGTGCAAATGCTTCAGAATATTAATATCTATGATGCTATAAATATGTTTCCATGACAACCCGAGAAGCACACAGCTTTTTTTCTGTGATGAGCATGGGTTAGCTGTACAGGCTCATTTTCATATATATATATATATATATATATAATATATATATAATATGAAAAGAGAATGTACATTATATGCATTCAATTGCACACTTATTAAATATATTTTTAATCCATTCATCAGCCAATACATGTTAACCTACATTTATGCATTAGACAAATTACTGCTTGTATTTAAGGATTCAAATAAAAACACATCTAATATAGAAGCATTAATGACATTTAGCAGTTGTTGCTCTGAATATATGTGCAGGACAGAGAGTACTGTGCTGCAGGCAAGAGTACTGTGTATAATACTGGTGAAAACCTGCAACCTCAGTGTTAGAGGACCCATAATGCATCAGTGCATCAATCAATTCTTCCATCAGTGGTCTCACTGAGTAACTGGGACAGTGCAGGAGCTGAGCTGACTGAGTGTTCAGAGGGACATGTGAAGAGATGTACTGCCACCTAGTGTCAGCTCAGAGAAAAACAAAATGGTTTAGTGTGAGTTCAAACAGCAGGTGGCAGCACTGCAGCCTTTAGAGGGGCGGGGGAAAATCCAGAATTCAGCAGAAATCCATGACAGTCTGTCTGGAGAGAAATCACCTCTTTGGATTTCGAAGGAAATAAAAAAAACAGTCTTATTACTGACTTGAAAGTGTGCAGCTTCTCAGTGAAACTCTAATATTCCCATTTTATGAAGCTGCAGTTAGACCAACATGTTTCAGCCTCTACTTCAATATTAACCTTTGTTCTTTAATAGGTGCTTTGCCAGGAAAGTAATGAAGTACATTTAATACAGTGATGCACAGTTAAAGTTCTGAGGGACTTGAATATTTGCATTTTCTTCCATATTCTGTTTCAACAAATTTCAAAGGGAAATTTAGTCATTTACATAATGATGGACACATTGTTTCCACCTCACACAGTAAACCTCTTCTCACACTGATCCATCACTAACTTTATTTTTTACATTGCTGTATATCTTCTATTAAACAAAGTTTAGTTTTGTAAACAATTTGTTTCATCCACTGCTGTATGTGTGTAATTTGCACCTTCAACCGAAGAGATAAATTAAATATGCTTATATCTTTTTAACAGGATCAATAAAGTTACCAGATAATTAACAAGTTTGTGATAGTAATTATGAAGCAATAGTTTTCAGAGAATGTGGAATAGTTCAAGAGAGTTCCACCTCTGGTAAAAGAAAACTGCTGTAGTTATATAAATGTGGTCTAAGATCTTTGGAGTATACACATATATACCTAAAGGTAAACTGTATCAGTCTTTAGGGGACATTGTTTGGTGCTCTGGGTCTTGAAAGGATTAATCTTGAAGTCATTATTTTCAAACCTGAATACGTTTGCTCCTATATAAACATATATAAGAACAAATGTATCAACACAGTAGAATGAGTGAACAAAAAGGTTAAAGCAATATCAAAGTTTTATTCGTAAAATGTAGTAGAGAGGAACAGTAGTACAATTCAGAGAGAAAAGAGGAGAATGTAATTCCATCTTTGAAAACCTTTGATAAAAACGTAAAAAGAGTAACCTGAATTTGCTTTGTGTTCAGAGGGCACTGAGGCGCGGCCCGAGTTTTGCATCACTGTTAAAGTTCGAGAGAAATTGAAAAATACAACCCTTTGCAACAGCGTAAAAAAATACAGCTGGGGAAAAAAAACCTCTGCTTTACATCTGTAGTGTTTTTGCTTTGTTTTTCGTGTTTTTTTTTTTGTCCATATAACAAATACAGCATAAAATCTAAAATGATACATCATAGTTTTTGTGTTTCATTCATTACAGTAAAATCAGTAGGATGGTAAATAGTATAAAAAGAACAAACAAGACAACAGGATGGCGTGATGAACAAGCACAGAGCGTGAACAGAGAGAGAAAGAGAAAGCGGAAGGTTTAAGTTCACGGAAATAAACCACCACATCAGGAGGTTTGTGGCTGACTGTCAATGTGTTCCATTAAGT